AAGTCCATATCTTACGACATTGTACCAATTAAACTAAAGTTTCTCAAAATAGTTAAGATTACATTTACAAAATATTAGAGCTCTAATACAAAAGATAGCAAAATAAAATGAGTCTCCAAGCTCGTCTAAACCTGTAGTGGATCGTCGTCCACCACCTCTTTTCCGTGTCCTGAAAAATGTTAAAAATAATGGGGTGAGCATAAACTCAGTAGGAAATGTTTAAGACGCACTTCTTATAACCCCGTGAATTCACATAAGGAAGAGGTAAAAAGAAACGGGGTCATACTGTGGGGAATACATATTCTTTACCACAACAACAAATATGTAACAAATGTCAACCAATTACAAATTTTTCACAATGTCATGAAGTGTAATGTTATGCAAATGTCGCTCCCTATGTCCGAAACATTTCCATTTCAACTTCCAAACCGTTAGTATAATCCGACCCAAGGTACCTCCAAGGCGTCACGAATGGATGGTTGACTAACTATCCACGACCACAAGGCACCTCCAAGGCGTCGCATCCGGCCTAGTTAGCTCAACCATACTCCATTTTAGACTGCATTAACAACACGGACCACTAGGCGCCTTTTAGGCTTCCGGTTTTCGCAAACACTTTTAAAAATACTTTCCTAAAAATTTATTTCCTTTGTTTTGAAAACATTTTTCCCTTTTCTCTTCCCGATGGATGCATGAATGCTTCATACTTCTAATCATCAATTCAATTATAGGCTTTCACACATTCCATTTACATCATCATCACAATTCAATAAGAATTTCTAAACATTCATTTATTTATAACCATAGCATCAATTTTTCAAGGCAGTAAATAAATAAATAAATAATCATAGAACATACAACATATCAAACACTAAGCATGCTTATTTACCGTAATGAAAATAGACATGTATATGAACTCAAATAACACATGGAACACATTTATCATTTTGATTACATATAATTACAACAACAACAAATTAGGTAATAAAAAATTAGCATGCTTAATTAAGATCAAATTTAAGGGAAAAAATTCACAAAAGACCCAAGAAGTTGTAGATTAGAACATCCCTACCTCAATGGAAGTGAAAACCCCCAAAATTCCCAATTTGAGCCCAAGAACCCTAAAATTTCGAAATCCCTATAGTGCACCAAATAATGAATTGCTTGTACTCACACGTAGACCTCGTCGTGCTCTCCGTTTTGCCGCAAATTGCTCCCAAAAACTCCAAGAAATAAGGAAGTAATCAAAGATTGATTAGTAAAAAATGAGAAAAGAAAAAAAAAGCAAGGAGAGAAACAGGGAGCTCAGTCCCGAAGCTGAAGTGAAAATAGCCACAAAAATGATGTGCGTTGATATAAAATATGTTTAGTGCTTTGTAGGGCCCATTAAAAAAACCAAATATCTCTATTATACTTTTGCATATTTAATAAACATTACAATTCAGATATTATTCAAAGCCTTAGGACGGTTATTTTTGCATAAAATCAGAGTTGATTTTTTGATATCTTTCTAGAACACATACACATAACACAGAGTTTAGAGTTGTGGTGTTTGTATCCTAATCATGATCATACGGTCGTATTAATATCGATCAGGCAAAGTAGATCTTTTACATCATTCAGACGAATTGAAGAACAGAAGTAAACGCAGTCACACTTTAGAAGAGTTGGAGCATTCGCGGAGTGTTGTCTGATCTACCTGCTACTCTTCTACAAATATCAAGTGTAAGTCTAAGATCGAGTTGCTGTTGGATGGGGAGTCGCAAAGCCAGAGGATCGTCAGCGGTTAGTGTGGTGTAGAACGATAGGGTGTGAGCCAGAGTCAAAATTTGATATACTTTGTTCTAAGTATAGTGGATTGATTTACTTTAGACTGCACAAGTCCACGAGATTTTTCCCATTACAATTGACGTATTTTATCAACTGGGGTTTCCTTACTAAAATCCTGGTATCATCTCTAACTTTATACTTTGCTTTACTTTACTGCATGCAATTAATTATCTAACTGCTAAAATAAATAAAGTTGGTAACGACACAGATTTATTTTAAACTTTCCTGTATACATTCCGCTGCATACGACTCATATAATCGACCACCAAACCACCTTTCAATTTCAAACCCCATAAAAATCCACCGAACAAGGTCAACAATCTAATGATGAACATTTTTTTTTTTTGAAATGTTAATGATGAACTTCTTGAAGAAAAAGGAAATCAAGAAGATGAATATATGATGCAATCATTCATTTATGACCCCCAAAAAAAATACAAATCTCCAATTTTTTTATTTTTATTTTTATTTTTATTTTTTTGGGTAAGTCAATGTATTCAACCAAAAAATCAACTGTAAAACAGAAAGGCCGAAGCCCAAAGAGCACAAGGTCCAGCAGCACATTCCGTGTCAGAGCTTACTCTTGTTTTAGTATAATGTCTATGAACAACTTTGTTTACCCTTATATTTGTGTATTATTCACAACACTTCACTGAGCATACTTCTACTAATCCAAAATAAATAAATTTGAAAAAAAAAAAGAAAAAAAAAAAAAGAAGAAACTTTATCCTTCCGTTCATATAATAAGTCAATAACTGTTATCATTATATATATATATATATATATATATATATATATATATATATTGTTTTGCAAAAGGAGTCACCTCACAACTTGCTTCCCTTTGGGAAAAAAAAAAAAAAAAAATTATTCTTTTATTTTTATTTTTATTTTTATCTTTAGTAGCACGGTCATACAATCTTCAAAATAAAAAAGACATGAACGTATTGTGATCACATCATTGTAATTTAGTGACTTTGGTAATTTATGTGCTTGCTAATGGAGATCACATCATTGTGATTTCCGTTTGATATAAGAAGACTAATTAAAACATGTATTTTATAGTATATTCCTATTACAACGAAAGAAGATTAACAATACTATGTTGAATATATTGTTATTTATTTTCTTCATTTACTCCAGAGTTCATTTGATAGTTAAGATTTTGGAGGAAATCAAATTGTTATGAATGTAGGAAATCAAATTCTCATGCATAGTACTGTATATGGACGACACACACCTACTGTTAAATAGAAGACTTGAAGACTTGCGTGATAACGTGCAACACATTCATTAACTTTAAAACATGATAGCTCTGGTGTAAAAGACTTGACATGAGGAGCGAAACGATGGATACTCAAAATATTAAAAAACAAAAATTATTTATTTCTAATTATTTTATTAAACATAAATTGTAATCCAAAAATTTATTAAAAATTTAAATTGCACTAATTTGTTTTAAAACACTTATTTGTATGTCAATAATTTGGAAAATAAATTTAACTTATTCCCTAATAAAAAATATATCAAACTTGAACTTTTTCAGTTATACTTTTTGAAAACTTAAATATTGTGAAACAAAAATGTATATTCATTATTATTGTAGTTCTTATAACAATGAATCGATAATTTATTTACATATCCATTATTTGAATTCAAGAGAGAAAAACAAGACATCCCTCAAATCAGTATCTCTCTTTTAATTACGAAAAAAAACACAAGAAAAGTATACTAATGTCCTCTCATATTTAATAAATGAATGAACAATTTTTTTCTTATTTTTTTTTTCTAAAATGCAAGAACCTTTCTTTTAGGACATTTTCAAAAGACAATGTTTACTATAAAAATGCTTAAAAATATTCTTAGATGTATGTAAAGTTTATTTGTTGTTCATTAAATGAAAATCCTAAAATTAATTTAATCGATTATATGAACTCAATTTTAAAACAGTGTTAGAACTTTATTGACATCAAAATCTAAATAAATGATGTTTATTTTGACAGGAATTCTTGTGATACGATTAAAATATACAAGTTCAGTCAGTAGTCTCTTTATTCGTTAAAGAATGAAGGTGCTTACAATTACATTTGTCTTCCTGAAGAGATAAAAATTGTCTCAGAAGTTGGTTCTCTCTGTTTGTTATCTCGTCATTCTCACTTGTACTTTTGTTAACCCTTGTTTAATTTGGCGTGGTTCCTTACTCACGTGGATTTTGTTGATTTGGTACCATGATCATGACCTTCTGCTTACCATTCTTTAGAGACTAATTTTGGCCATTTGTTTGTTGGTACATATCTTTTATAATCTCTGTCTTTTTCCTTCATTTTCAATAAGGTTATAAAAATTTAAATCGTTCACGTACTACTTACCTTCGCTACGAAAAATCTACAAAGTATAGAATCCCGCCTATCAATTGTTGGATCATTTATCAAGTAAGTTTTATCATCATATTCAACAGTTAAAAATCTCGAGAGTATCATATTATCCTGAAATATTATAAACTTTTCCCTTTGCTATTTTTGTTTGATTCTTTCTTATGATTTTTTTTATTAACAAATGATTATAATCTAACCTAACGATCATATCCATTTTTATAACTTTTGTCTTTTATAAAAATAGTAAAAATAAAAGTAAAATCGATATTAGAAACTTCTCATTTTTTAAAGATAACAAAACTCGTCCTTCACTAATATTTCTCCAAACTCCTCAGTTTTCTTTAATCATTTATATCAAACACAATATAGCATTCCTCTCAATGAAGCTTTTTTTTTTTTTTTTCCTTTCATTTCTTCCAACCAAACTGGCCTAATAATTTTTGCCCATCACAAATGATTAAAATATAACCTAAGAATATGTCATGAAGCCATTAATGATTGATTGTGCAAGAACAAGCATAGTATTGTAAAGTTATTTAACACGGTTAAATATATTTTCAAGTTAAATTTATCTATTTCAACTAAATTGAATTTGTTAAAAATTAGAATTAAATATTGAAAAATTATTAAATATGTGTTGAAAAACAAAATTAGTGCGCAAACCCATGTGAATAGCTACACGTGTTTAATGTCGGTTGGGTCTCTTACAATAAATGAAAATTTGGGTCCCACTTACATCTACCTACCTTATAATATTGTTCTGTCAGTGTCGATCACGGAAAAGATTAGAGAGAGCAGTATATAGATGAACAAATACAAGTGAAGCTCTTATCAGAATCATTTTATTTAGATCAATTTCTGTTGTTAGAAGAAGAAGCTGAAAATGGAAGACGTGAATTGCATCTACAAAAACTACAACGAACCGATCGAATCAAGAATCAAAGACCTCCTCTCTCGAATGACTATCAAAGAGAAACTCGGTCAGATGACTCAGATCGATAGAAGCGTCGCGACTCCTTCCGCCATCAAAGACCTCTCCATTGGTACTAAATTAATTCTCTCTTTCTCTCTCTATTTCTAAATGCATATATGTATATATATATATACATGTACACACATACGTGTTGTGCAGGGAGTATACTCAGCGGTGGTGGTAGTGTACCGTTCGAGAAAGCTAAGCCGTCCGATTGGGCGGACATGGTCGACGGCTTTCAGAAGTCAGCGCTCGAATCGCGGCTTGGAATTCCACTGTTCTATGGGATTGACGCTGTTCATGGTAACAACAATGTCTATGGTGCCACTATATTTCCTCACAACGTTGGTCTTGGAGCCACCAGGTAAATTATTCATTCTCTCTACATGCATATATACGTCTGTTATCTATATCTCCATCTTAATCTATATATACTATTATTTAAGTGTAAGAGTTTTTCTTAATTTTCAAATATTTTAAATATATATATATTATATCTATATCTATGTAGTATTATAAAAGTATAAGGTTTTTTTTTCCTAATTTCTAAATTTTTTTTAAAAATAAATAAATAACTTTTCATTAAAAGAGTTGACATTAAATGTGTTTTTTTTTTTTTTTTTTTTCATTAAAGAGTTTCAGTTTACATTAAATATTTTTATTTTTTTTATATACATTAAATTTGATTTTTTTTTTTTTTTTTTAATTATCTCTTCAGTGTAAAAATGGTAAGTCATTAAAAAACATCTTGGTGTAGATGTTATGTGTGGTTTGGCGGTAATTGAATCCGTCTCCGTTTAGCCGAGCTACCCCATCCCATGCCAAAACCCTTTATTAAACGGGACACGGGAACAGATTTAGGAGAATATTTTTGTACGAAGTAATTGTATTACAAAACTAATGAATATAAATAATAAACAAATTTTCAATCATGGTTATAATTTTCTTTCCCTTATGCAAATAAGAACAAGGTTCAAATTCTAAATCTAAAGTAATTAAAACTTGAAATTTAATATTACTGTAAGAAAATTAGAATAAAATTCATAGAGATTCTCAAATAAAAATAATACAAAAGATATCTAATGATTGAAATAGAATCATATTTGCTTATATATACTTATTATTTCTTAATATAAAATAAATTATAAAGGCAAAATTATAATTTAACAATTTAAATACCACGCAACGGGTCATTCCAATTCCAAAACCATTTAACCACCTCCATAAGAACGGGCTGGTGTTTTACCATCCCTATACCAGGTTTATCTTGCAGCCTCCTGTAACAAAGGTCATCATGTTGAAGGTTCCCGTTTCAGAAAATCAAACAAAAAAAATGGCCATTGCTTATTAGTTGAAACACCTCTCAGTGTTCTTTATTATATGAAATGTGTTGCAGAGATGCAGACTTGGCTCACAGGATTGGGGCTGCAATTGCTCTTGAAGTTAGGGCGACTGGGATTCACTACAATTTTGCTCCCTGTGTGGCTGTAAGTCGTCATTAATTCAATTCATCAATCCATCATTGTCTGAATTCGTGTTCAATATGTCTCAATTGGTTACATTGGTTGAAAATGATCCTAAATTTTTAAAATATAAGTCATATATATAAGTGCAACAAGCTGTATGGTTCACCACCACTCAAAAGGAAGAGAAGAGAAGAGAAAGGAAGGGAAAACCAGAAATTCTCATTGGTTCGCTGGTAGGGAAAACCATTTATCTGTTTGGGGAGAAAGAAGGGGAGGGAAAAGGATGGAGCTTAGTCAAACACTTTTGTGTACTTTACCTTTGTGCTTACCTATTGTTTTTCTCTTTAACATAACCAGGAGAGAAACAAAAGGAAAGGGAAGGTTAACATTAGTTAAGAGAACACAACTTGGGGAAAAAAGGGATGGTTGTAATTCCTCCTCTTATTTAATGTGTTGAGGTCTGTCTGAACATGTGTGGAACAGAGTCCCATCTGTTCAAAATCTGCAAACCGCCATAATTCATTCCTGTTTTGACCAAAAATTCTGATTTATATTGATGTGAAATAACTCTTTTACCTCGCTATTATTTGTTTTTGCTTTTCATCCTTCACTCTAAGCAATTATTCTTGAGGAGGCCCGATAGGACATGGGCCGGATATGACTTGCAAACGCGGCATTGAGTCCGTACAGGTGGGTCAGGCCCATAAAAAGGCACTACCATATGGGCCGAACGCGCATAGGCCCATCAAAGAGGACCGGGACTCATGAAGGAACGGGCCTAGATCCAGCAGTCCATCGACATTTGTAAATCTCTATAAATAGGAGGAGTAAGGTAAAGAAAGGGGGATCTTTTTGGTTGAGATATAGGAATTCTAGAGAGAGAGTGGAAGAAGGAATTTCTTGTATCTTCAATTGGCGCCGTCTGTGGGAATCGCATGGAAGTTTGGTTGATCAATAAGGAATATCGAGTGGATTCAGACCAATTCGGTTGATCGAGACTCGATCTTTGGGAGTTGGATCCAGATCTGAGCGATTGTGACCTACTCTGGAGGAATTTCAGTTCTTGAAGCTTTGGCAGAAGTGGCTTCAGATCTACGCAACAACGAGTTATTCGATTGTGGCAGGATCTGACGGATTTAGAATTCAGACAATTCAGATCTCGTCAACGGTGAGCATAATTCGGAGAATTCGAAACCAGATATGAAAAATTCCCACTCACGAAGCTCGGATCTACTCGCGAACTTGAGATTAATGCCTTTACTCCGTTCAGGAATAATGATAGGTGAAAGCTCCAATCCGATGGAGGCTGTCCAGCAAACAAAGCTTGAGGAGTTGATGAACTTGATCGAAGCTCTCAAAAAAGAGAATGCAAAATTGAAAGCTGGAATGCAATATCAGCAAATACCTGCGGTTTTGCATCCACTTCCGGTCGGTGAAGGAGGTGTTCAATCTAATATCGTGCGTCAAGGCGAGCAGGACGAGAACAATCAGTCAGCTCACCACCGTGATGAAAGGATGATGGACAATTTGCCTCCAAATGTTCGTCGAGTTGAGGATCACGAAGGATCGACTCACCTTGATCCGCGACATGAGCAGATTAGACAGAATGAAGCCATAACCTTCGATCCGCATCGGGAAAGGTTCGACCGAGAGGAAGCGATAGAGGTTGATCGCCGTCGAGTAGCGTCGCCTTGGCAAAGAGATTCATAGAGGAACGGTCGTTCGATCCGTCTTACCGGCCCTCCATAGCTACAATCACTCATCGCGGTTCGGAGGGCAGAACCGTAACTCACAGAGCTACCGCTGGACTCCAGAGAGAGAATGAAGCTCTCCGATCCGCAGCTCGGACGATTGATTCACCATTCACCGACGAGATCCTGAATGCCCCGCATCCAAGGAAGTTTGCTATGCCAGTCTTTATTCTATTTGACGGAACAACCGATCCGATCGATCATGTGTACCATATCCAGTTGAAAATGGCCCTGAATACGGAAAACGACTCTTTAATGTGCAAATGTTTCCCTACAAGCCTAGCCGGACCGGCGCTCAGCTGGTTCAAAAACTTGCCTAGGAGCTCCATTGGTAGCTTCAGAAACCTGTGCGATCAGTTCATAAGCCAGTACTATGGGAACAAGCGTCCGCCGAAGGACATCTCGAGCCTATTCACAATGAGACAGCACAAAGATGAACGTCTCCAGGCTTTTCTCACCAGGTTTAATCTCACTAAGAGTATGGTGATCGAATGCCACCCCTCTATAGCAGTTCAAGCCTTCAAGTTAGCCATGACACGTGGAACTCCGTTTCACACCAGTCTGGTAGTGAACACGCCGACGACTATGGATGAACTCAATGAAAGAGCCGATGGCTTTGTGCGCCTAGAAGAAGAGGAGGCAGCTAATGCTCGGACAGCGTCGCTCGTGTCGACCGAGGAAAAGTCCAAGGCAAAGATCAGGCAGAAGCAGGCTCAGCCGCAACGTCAGACCTCCTGGAAGGCAGAAAAAAGGTCCAGGGAGGAAGAGCTGATTACTCCGCTGAAGGTCACTCTGGCGAGGCTATATCAGGAGAACAAAGATAAGTTTCATCCACCACTGCCAATTAGGCAACCCCTCGAACAGAGGGATCAGACTAAACATTGTGCTTTCCATTCCGATTTCGGTCATCAGACTAACGAATGCAGGAATTTGAGGAGGCAAGTGGAGATGTTGATAGCTAGAGGGGAGTTCGCGAGTTATGTTCAAGGCTCGGCGATAGAGCAGAATCGACCGGTGGAACAAATAAAAAGGAGTCATAAACAAAGCTCCCACAATTCACAACTAGTTCGTATAATCAATGCTATCCATGGTCGACCCGAGCCTAGCGAAGAGTCAGATGAGCTACTTCGAGCGCGCCTACGGCAGGCGCAGATGAAGAAAAGGGTCAGCAGTGTGAATACTCTACACCGGCAGATCTCGTCGATGCAGATAAAGTTCGACTGGACAGACCTGCAGCGTGTTCAACTCCCCCATGAAGACCCGTTGGTAGTCAGTTTGACAGTGGCGGACTGCTTGGTACGCAGAGTTCTGATCGATCCCGGGAGCAGTGCGAATGTCATGCCGAGGGACACATTTGATCGGCTCGAGATTAAACCAGAGAGGCTCAAGCCCACTGGAAATCCCCTGTTAGGGTTCGATGGCAAGAGGGTGGAGCCCGTCGGAATGGTGGAAGTAGAAGTTCAAGCTGCAGAACGGGCTCTTATGGAAACTTTTGTAGTTGTAGAAATTCACCCCTCGTATAATCTCCTGATGGGAAGAGGATGGATTCACAGAATCCAAGGTGTACCCTCAACTCTGCATCAGGTCATGAGGTGCCTCGGACCCGATGGAAATAAAGTGATAGACATTCGGGGGGATCAGGTTGCAGCCAAAGAGTGTTATTCCGTCACACTAAAGTATGCTGGGAAAGGGAAGGCGTCCGTCCGACCGGCAAGCCCCAGATAGCAATTACAGGAACCTCCGCCCGAGCAAAACAGGGTGGAGGAGTCAGTTGACTTGACCGAAGAGCCCCTTCTGGATGTGCAGATCGATCAGTCCAGGCCAGAACGAACTACCAGAGTAGGAATAAGACTGACCAGAGAAGAGCAGCAAGAGCTAGTGGACTTCTTGTCCCGCAATGCCGACGTATTTGCATGGAGTCACCTAGACATGCCTGGAATTAATCCCTCCGTATCCTGTCATTCCCTGAATGTCATTCCCAATTTCAAACCAGTGAAACAGAAGCAACGAAGATTTGCTCCAGAACGCAATCAAATCATAGCGGAAGAAGTTGATAGGCTGCTTGATGCGGGATTTATCAGAGAAGTACACTACCCTGATTGGTTGTCCAACGTTGTTGTTGTGCAGAAGAAGAATGGGAAATGGCGAGTATGCATTGATTTCACCAATTTGAACAAAGCCTGTCCGAAGGATAGCTTCCCGCTGCCTAAGATTGATCAAATGGTGGATGCCACCACCGGGTATGAGCGTTTAACCTTTCTGGACGCTTATTCAGGTTATAATCAGATCCCTATGGACCCCGCAGATGAAGAAAAAACTTCTTTTGTAACCGAGCGAGGAACATACTGCTACAAAGTTATGCCTTTCGGACTAAAGAATGCGGGAGCAACTTATCAAAGACTTGTTAGCAAAATTTTCAAGAATCAAATAGGAAAGATTGTGGAAGCCTATATTGATGATATGGTGGTAAAGAGTAGGAAGAAGGATGATCATCTGAAACATCTGCAAGATGTATTTGATGTACTAAAGCGATATGGGATGAGGCTCAACCCAACCAAGTGCTCGTTCGGTGTGAGTTCCGGTCAGTTTTTGGGACACGTGGTCAACCGCAGAGGCATCGAAGTTAGCCCCGCTCAAGCAGAGGCTTTGATTAAGAATGCCGAGCCAAAGACGATCAGAGAAGTGCAAGCCCTCACAGGACGAATAGCTGCATTAAGTCGATTCATTTCAAAATTGTCAGATCGCTGCAAGCCGTTCTTTGACACGATTCGGAGCCATGGAAGACAGGTCTAGGGGGATGAGCAACGACAAGCATTGACCCATTTGAAGGAATATATGCAGAATCCACCAGTCCTGTCAGCCCCGGATCCAGAAGAAAAGTTATTTCTGTACCTTGCAGTATCTGGTGTCGCGACAAGTGCCGTTCTGATTCGTTGCAAGGAAGGGGTGCAATACCCGGTATTTTATGTAAGCAAAACAATGACAGAGGCAGAACAAAGATACTCAAAGGCTGAACGGGTGATACTTGCACTTGTAAATGCAAAAAGAAAGTTGAGGCATTATTTCGAATCCCACCCTATAGCTGTTCTAACAACTTTTCCAATCAGAACGCTTATGCACAAGCCAGAGCTATCGGGCAGAATGACAAAGTGGGCCATAGAGTTAAGTTCATTTGACATAACGTATGAGCCGAGAACAGCTGTCAAAGGGCAAGCGGTAGCCGATTTCCTGCTAGAATGTGATTCCAAGGATACGGAAGAAGACCTTAGA